CCGTCGAGGACGCCTGGCGCGACTCCTTCAAGGCCAAGCCGAGCGCGCGGCGCCGCGACGAGAAGCGCGACGAGAAGCAGCGGTACCTCTCGAAGCACAGCGCGTCCCAGGAGATCGACGAGAAGATGGAGAAGGACAAGGCCGCGCGCGACGCGGCGGCCCGGGCCGCCGCCGACGCCAAGCACCGCGAGCGCACGTCGCTCCGCAAGGCCTGGCACCAGGTGACGTCGTCGAAAAAGTACTTCTGCCGCGCGCGCGGCTTCGTCCGCGTCGCCGTCTTCGCGAACCACGACGGCGAGTACGTCGCCGCGGCGGCGAAGCCCCACGCGGACGCCAAGGTCGAGAGCATCCACTTCCAGCACGACGACCTGCCCGTGCCGCCGCCGCGCGAGGCCGACGACCGGAGCCTCGAGGAGCTCCGCATGCCGCCCGCGCTGAGGACGGAGGTGCGCGCCTTCCTCGGGAGCAACCGGCTGACCATCTCGCGGTCCTTCGAGTCCGACGACGGCGCGTCCGACGACGACGACGACCGCCTCTCGCTCGAGCTCGTCGACGTGCCCCACGTCGCCGCGGCGCGCGTGCTGTCGCCGCCCGCGCTCCGCGACCTCGAGGGCCGCGTGCTCCCCGCCGACGAGGTCGGCCGCCCGAGCTCGCCGTCGCGCTTCGGCGCGCTGGCGGCGGGCGCGCGCGCGGACCTGCGCGGCGCGGACGCGACGCTCGACGACGTGGAGCGCGGCCACGCGTCGCGCGTCCGCGACGCGGACCGCCTCCACGACCTCCACGTCCACGACGCCGCCGTGCTCGACGGCCTCGGCCACCTGTCGCCGACGAAGAGGCGCCGCTTCGTCGCCGCGCCCGTCGTCGACACGCACTGGCACACGACGCGGACCATGCGCGCGGCCGTCGCGAACCTCTGGGACCCCTAGGGTCCGTAAAAGACCGTCTCTTGTGCGTTACGACTCTGGAGGCACGTCGCCCGCGCGGACCGCGCGGTCGTAGCGCGCGGCGCCCGCGAGCCAGAGGAGCCCCTCGGCGTAGCTCTGGGGCGCGACGACGTGGGGCAGCGGGTCGCCGTCGAGGGCGAAGACGACGTGCATGCGGTCCGTGACCTCCTCGCGCTCGTTGCCGCTCGTCCGCTTCAGGGACCGGTCCATGTCGAGGGCCGTCGCCTCCACGGTGACCTGGACGCTGGTCGCCGTCGAGTGGACGACCTTGGCCAGAAGCGCGACGACCGTCCCCACGTCCACGGGCGCGACGAACTGGAAATCCTCGACGACCGCGGGCACGAGGCAGCGGCCGCCGGCGAAGCGGGAAGCGCAGGTGTGCGCGACCTCGTAGCACTCCCGGAGCAGGTAGCCGCCGAAGACCTTGCCGTGGACGTTGCGCGCGTCCGGGTGGCCGATCTCGAACGTCCGCAGCTTCGTCGCGCGCATGTCGACGACGTCGCCCGCGCCGGCCTTGGCCGCCTCGCGCCGCAGGTGGATGCCGTGGAGCTTCGCCGCCGCCTCCGCCGTCGGCGGCGCCCGCGGATCCGCCGCGTCCTCCCGCGCGGGCGGCGCGGCGCCGCCGGCGAGCGGCGGCAGCGGCCGCGGCGCGTTCGTCGCCGCGTCGCGGCTGACCATGAGGAAGTTGGACGCCAGGAGCGGCCGTTCGTCCGCGCCGACGGCGACGTCGAGCGCGACGCGCATGGACGACGTTCCGACGGACGTCGCGCGGCCGTCGTAGCGCACGTCCGTCCGCGACGTCAGCGACCGCCAGGCCGCGGCGTCGATGGCGAGGCGCTCGACGCGCGCCGTCACGAGGCGGTAGGCGTGGTCGGCGCCGGGCGCCGGCAGCTCCAAGTTCGCGTGCCGGTACGCGACCTCGCCGGCCAGCGCGTCCAAATCCTCGAGCACTCTACCGAGGCGCATGCCGCCGCCCTGGCGCTCGTACTCGCGCGCCAGCGGCGCGTCCGTCGACAGCGGCAGCGTCGCGCGCACGCGCGACGCCGACGCCGGCCGAGCGACGCTCGCGTCGATGCGGTCGCTGCCGCCGATGCGCAGCTCCTGGTCGTAGAAGCGGATGTGCTCCTTGCGCGTCTGGTACGCGCGGCGCGGCACCGCTGCGGCGAGTCGCGACACTGGTCGCGACAGCGCTGCGACGGAAGGTCTCATGATCATGCGCAGCTGCTGGTCGTAGAAGCGGATGTGCTCCTTGCGCGTCTGGTACGTGCGGCGCGGCAGCGCTGCGGTGATGCGGTGCGACACTGGTCGCGACAGCGCTGCGACGGAAGGTCTCATGGTCATCATCCGCGGCCCTCTGCAGCTGGTTCTTGCCGTGCACGACCAAGTGCAACGTTCGTGGCGCATGAGCGCAGAGGTACAAAAAACACAAGCAGTAAGAAGCACAAGACAGGGTATTACTCAGTGGTAGGCGAGGCGGACGGCGTGGCGCTGCCAGCGCGCGGGCACGCGGACGCGGTTCCGCTTCGAGTTCGGCCCGGGGTCCGCGCGGCCCCGCAGGCGCCGCTTCGTCGGCGACGGCGGCGGCGCGTCCTGGAGCCGGTGGAGGAGGCCCTCGTCGGTCTCGCCGGCGAAGTAGGACGCCTCCATGGCCCGGAGCTCCGCGTCCGTCTCCGCGAGGTCGTCCGCGAGGCTCGTCCGCGACGGCGTCGAAGCGGTCGCGATCCGCCGCGAGCGGCGGCGGCGGCGGCGCGCCGCGCGTGCGCCGCTCGACGTCGCGGAGCACGCGGGGCGCGAAGCGCAGGTAGGCGGGCTCGTAGGGGGCGTCGACGAGCGCGAGCGCGAGCGCGTCGTTTTCCGACGCGATCGTCAGAACGCTGCCCGACTGCAGCAGCGGCGCGACGGCCGCGGCGTCCGGCGGCGCGTGCAGGTCGTCCGGGAGCTCCCGCCGGGGCCGCGCGCCCGGCAGGTCCGCGGCGCGGAAGGCGATGGGCGCCGCGCCGCGGCTCGCGGCGGCGACGCCTTCGCCGTCGTGGTTCAGGAAGATCGTGACGGCGACGAAGGCCCGCGCGCGGGGGAAGTACTTGTCGTAGGTCGCGACCTCGTGGAGCTCGCGGCACAGCAGGCGCCGCTCGACGTCGACCGCGCGGCGCCGCTCGCGCGCGGCCCAGTCGTCGTCGGGCGCGGGCGCGCGGGCCGCGACGCGGCGGAGGCGGCCGGCGGTCTTGCTCGCCTTCGTGAGGAGCAGCGCCGCGTCGACGCCGTAGGTCGTGGCGAGGCGGTACCGCGGGCCCAGGCGCCGCGCCGACTGGTGGATCCGCAGGCGCGACCGGGGTTCCGTCTCGGTGGTCGATGCTCCGGCGCCCATGGGTGTTGTAATGGGGCTGCCGACGGGTGGCGCTGGCGCTTGCTTTTGATGCTGCCGGCGGGTGTGTCGCTGGCGCTTGCTGGAGTGCCGCTCGGGCTGCTTGGTTTGTGCGGGAAGGCTGCCCATTTCGCGGCGTGCTGTGCCGAGAAAGGCCATCTGATGTCGAAGAAGTCGTCAAGGTGCTAACCCGAAGTCGTTTGGGCGAAAGGCTGATCAGCAAGCCAGCTTGTCGACATCGTCTAGCGCAGCAACTTCGCCGCGCCTCGAAGCGATGCGGTCGTTCGGCCTCGCCCTCCTCCCTGCGGTGGTCGTGCCGTTCGGCGGGGTGCCGCCGGGCGTGTCGCCGCACCGACGAACGGTCGCGCTGCGCGAATCCTACGACGTTACGCTCGACCTGCCGGACGGCCAGTCCGTGACCTTCCCCTGCGCCGACGACGAGTTCATCCTCGACGCCGCCGAGGAGGCCGGCTTCGAGCTCCCCGCGTCGTGCCGCAGCGGCGCGCGCGCCGCGTCCACCGCCGCGCGCGCGCGCGCGGCCGCCGCTCCGCCGCCCGCCGATTCGGGTCCGCCGCCGACGCCGCCGCCGCCCGCAGGCGCGTGCACGGTCTGCCAGGGCCGCGTCACGAGCGGGACCGTCGAGCACGACGACCAGTCGACGCTCGACGACGAGCAGCTCGCCGCGGGCTACACCTGCGCGGCGCCGGCGCCGCCGCGGCTCCTTTTTCCGCGCGTTTTCACCGGTTCCGCGCAGGCACGTGCGTGGCGTACCCCGAGAGCGACGTGCGCATCGTGACGCACCAGATGGACAACTTCGAGGCCGGCGTCATGGCGCCCCTCGACGGCGCCGCGCCCGCGCCGGCCGCGGAGGCGCCCGCGCCGGCTCCCGCGCCCGCGCCCGCGCCCGCGCCGCTGGCGGCCGTCGCCGACGCGGCGCCGGCGTCGGCGGAGCTCTGGACCTACAAGATGAAGGTCGCCGAGAGCACGCTGGCCATGCTGA